TGTGGTCTACTGTATCAAAAGCCGCGCTTAGATCCAGTAGAACCAACACAGTCACCTTTTTAGAATCATAACTTAGTCTAAAATCATTTAAAATCTTTAAAAGAGCAGTCTCTGTGCTGTGGTTCACCCTAAAACCTGATTGAAATTTCTCTAAAATGTTCTGCTAATCTAAAAAGGCACTGAGCTGGGTAAAAACAAGTGTTTCTAAAATTTTGCTTAAAAATGGTAAGTTGGATATTGGTCTGTTGTTAAAATTATTAAAATCCAAATTGCTCTTCTTCAGAAGGGGTCTCACCACAGCCGCTTTGAAGGCTGCAGGAAAGACCCCAGTCTGAAGAGAGCAGTTCATCAGGTTTAAAAGCTCCTCTCTAAAAGATTCATAAAATAACTTAAAAAATGGGGTGGGGACCGGATCTAAAAGACATGTGGTGGGCCTCACTGAGGAGAAAACTTTATCAAGCATCTCAGCATCAACCAGGACAAAACTGTCCAGTGTTTCCTCTGGCAAGGACAAAAAATCAGATGTGTTAAAAACAGTTGTGCGGTTGGATAAAATGTTACATCTGATTGTATTTATCTTCCCCGTGAAGTGGACTGCAAAGTCCTCACAGAGGGAGTCTGTGGGGGTTAAAAGAGATATGCTAAAATCAGGGTTTAAAATGGTGTAAATGGTTGAAAATAGGACTTTTGGGTTTTTTTTATTTTGGGTGATTTGTTCTTATGATTTGTAATTGTGTAATTGTATGCTTTTTGATTGTTTTTATATATTTGTAGTTGATTGTTGTTTTGTTTTTCCTCCATCTTCGTTCTGCCACCCTGCACTCTTGTTTCATTTTCCGTACTTCCTCATTTCTCCATGGGGGTGCATATTTAGTTTTTATGATTTTTGTTTTTAAAGGAGCGACTTGATCCAACGCGGAACTAAGTCTACTGTTAAAATCATTTGCTATAAAATCACAGGGGGCAGGTAAAACCAAGTGGGGAGTGTTGTTTAGGATGTCGATAAAATTTGCAGCCACTTCAGGGGTTATATGTCGCTTCCTCACGATTCTCACAGAGGTCTCACGCTGAATAAAACCAGTGATGTTAAAAAACACACAGTAGTGGTCCGAGACAGCCAAGTCGACAACAGAGGACACATCCGCAGTCAGGCTATAAGTAATGACCAGGTCGAGGGTGCGTCCTCTGTTGTGTGTTGGCTGTCTGAGGTGTTGGGTAAAATCCATGTAATCAAGAACGTCTAAGAAATCTAGGTTAAAATTGTCATATTGTAAGAATTGTGTAAGGGTGATAAAAACGCTGAGAATTTAATAATAAAAAGGCTAAAAAACAAGAGAGTGATAAGTTTGTGTAAGCCCTCAGTCGTACAGGGATTAGTCAAAGCAAAGGAAGGTTTCTCACCCATCATCTGTACTTCTTAGCAAGTTTTCCCGACGTAGATCTGCTCCCTTCTACATCAAGCAGACCTGAGATTGTTTATGAGTTAGTATCAGGATTAGGGTGTGGCTAACCACACCCATAGGTTATAAATCTCCAACGCGCGGTCCGAGAATTCATTCCCTGAAGAAGTCCGCTAGGTTGAGGACGAAACGTCGGGAAAACTTGCTAAGAAGTACAGATGATGGGTGAGAAACCTTCCTTTGCCAAGAGAGTGATACTCAAAACTTGAGTATTGGTTAAAAACAATAGGTTTGGTGGCCAGGGCGTAACTGCATATTGAGGCTGTGCCGCTACCTCTCTTTCCTTCTCTTGTTTTAAAAGCAAAGTTAAAATTGGGGGGGGGGGGCCCTCTGTAAGAACAGCCGGAGCATCCGGATCCAGCCAGGTCTCAGTTGAAAACATACCATCCAGTTCGTGTTCTAAAATTAAATCATTAACAGTAAAAGTCTTATTTAAAAGGGAGCGTACATTTAAAAGGGCAAACCTGATGGTAGATGGGTTGTTATTATTGATGGGGAGTCCATAGTTCGAAGAGGGGGGAGCAGAGGATAAGAGAGGGCAGGGGGAAACAGTGATGAGGTTGGTGAAGGACGGTTTCCTGGGTATGGACGGTCTGTAGGGGCGGGGTCTGGACAAAACTGTAATTTTGTGCTGGGGAAGAGAGCAGGGGTTGATGCTGGGGCACAGACGGGCAGGAGGGATGTGGGATGTGGGGGTGGGTTGTCAGAGGTATGTAGGATGGGATTGGACTGCGTGGGTGATGTTGGAGATCAGGTACCGGTTGCCAAGTGGGTTGATGTGACGTCCGTCGGGTGTGAAGAAGGGGTAGCGGTTCCAGAACAGATTAAAATTGACTGTAAAACCAAAGTTGTGATGGAGTGATGTTTGATTGAGCCAGGTGTTGAGTGATAAAATTCTGCTAAAACGCTCCCTGCCGCGGTTCAGAGTGGGCAGAGGACCAGAGATAAAAACAGTTTTTCCTGAGTTTGATAAAAGGTTAAAAAGATCGTTAAAATGGCGATTTGTGGTCTCGGATTGGCGGAGTGAACCGTCATTTATGCCGACATGAATTATGATCCGGTTATTGTGTTATGACAATACACAGAGCAGTGACTCCGCCCAGAACGACAGGGACCACATAATAATAATAATAATACATTTTATTTAAAAGCGCCTTTCAAAACACCCAAGGACACTGTACAGGCATAATAAAAACATTTAAAAACAGGATAAACAGAATAAAACAGTAGTCAGGTGCAATATGGGATGGTGTGTGTGTGTGTGTGAGTTAGGAGGGTGTGTGTGTGCGTATGTGTTAGGTGTGTGTGTGTGTGTGTGTGTGTGTGCGCGCGTGTGTGTGTTAGGTGGGGTAGGACAGTCTGAACAGATGGGTTTTGAGTCGGGATTTGAAGAGTGGAAGAGAGTCAATGGTACGGAGGTCAGGGGGGAGAGAGTTCCAGAGCTGGGGGGCAGAGTGGCTGAAGGCTCTGTGTCCCACAGTGATGAGTCTGGCTGGGGGGACGGAGAGTGTGAGGGTGGAGGAGGAGCGGAGTGTGCGGGCAGGAATGTGAGGGTGGAGGAGGTCAGATAAGTACGGAGGGGCCAGGTTGTGAAGTGCTTTGAAGGTGGTGAGGAGTATTTTGAAATTGATGCGCTGTTTGACAGGAAGCCAGTGGAGTTGTTGTAGTACGGGGGTGATGTGGTGAGCTGTGGGGGTCCGGGTGATGATACGAGCTGCAGAGTTTTGGAGGAGCTGCAGTTTCTGGAGGGATTTGTTGGGGAGGCCGAAGAGAAGTGAGTTGCAGTAGTCAATCCTTGAGGTGACGAGGCTGTGGACGAGGATGGCGGTGGTGTGGGGGGTGAGGGAGGGGCGGAGACGAGAGATATTGCGCAGGTGGAAGTAGGCAGACCGAGTGATGTTATTGATGTGGGATTGGAAGGAGAGTGAACTGTCGAGGATGACACCCAGACTCTTGACTTGAGGGGAGGGGAGGACAGATGTGTTATGGATGGAGATTGAGAAGCTGGTAGATTTGGAGAGAGTGGAGGGGGTGCCTATGAGAAGGACTTCAGTCCTTCATGGTCAGTGGGACACCTGGTCTCAGTCTCTGTGAGTCAGTACAGTGTTTAAAGTCTCACAGTCCAATCCCACGACAGCTGCAGCAAACGCAACCCATAATCTGGAACAATCTTCCTGAAAATGTGAGACTGTCCTCTTCTCTGAATGGTTTAAATCTAGGTTAAAAACAGTTCTGTTTAGCTGTGCATACAACTGAGGATTTTATATTTTCATCTTTCTTTTTAATGTACTGTGATTATTTGTGATTTAAATGCTATCTTTTGTTCAGCACTTTGAGTTTCCTTGTATATGAATTGTGCTATACAAATAAACTTGCCTTGCCTTGCCCTCTCTGGTATTAACCATCACCAGTAAGAACCGGCAAGAAGTTCAACCAAAAATTGACACAATGCAGTGAGGTTTAGTTCCACTCACAAGTTTAAACCAATTCACTTGAGATTCGTGTTTGGAGAAGTTTGAACACAACAAAGTAACAGTCTCTCCTTGATGAACCTCCAATACATAATTCTGCAAAGTGGATCCGACACTGACATCTGCAAATGACAAAGACGATCACTAAAAGCTGTGAAGTGTTGGACATAAAAACAAAAGTGTGTTACTCACAGAGGACAGAGAGCAGAAAGTACGTGAAGATCCTCATAGTGAAAACTCTGGTCTGAGCCTCGAGTTCAGCAAAGAGGCTGTTCATGTTGGTGGAGCGTTGTCTTCTGTGCGTTTTGACACTAAATCAGGATGTTAAAAAAAGCTTGCATGTCTTTTGATCTCAGCCTTCGCATTTAGCAGACGCATGCATCAAGATGGTCAAACTGATTTAGCCTGTGCAATGTCTGTTTGAAATGCTTTGAAAAGTCTGCTTCTTGTCTGCTTGGTTGGAACTTTATCAAGGTTCCAAGAAGAGCTTTAACTTCCAGCAAGATGAGACGGAAGTGAGACACAAAGACAATTGAAAAAGTAAAAGAGTGAAAGTAACAATTCTTTTAAATCTATGTTTAATGATGTTTTATGACTTATATTAATGCCATGGACCAAATCCAATCACAAAATAGTTTGAAATTACTTAATCACTGTTTTACTTTGTTCCACTCTGTCAGCGTCTACTTTCTATTCTCTCAGAGACAGATAAATGTGGTTAAACAGGAAGTCCAATGTGGTCTCAGCAACATGGCACAGACCTGACAACAGTTGTGTATTGAGATATAGTTCCATGTAATGTCCATGAGAGAGACCAGAATCTGTACTATGTCTGGAGTTTACAGGTTCTCCCCCGTGTCTACGAAGGTTATCTCCGGGTGCTACGGTTTTCCCGACCACTAAAGTCATGTACAATAGGTCTTGCATGTGCCTCCTGCGACATTTCCCCCATCTCTGTGAGGAGTGAGAGACAAAACAGAAGAGAAAGAAGAGTCCAGTTGCTACATGCATCAGTATCGTCCTGCTTTGGTCCACGCAGCATCAGGGCTTCAATACGAGACCAGAGACTTCATCTTGTACTCGAGTAAACCACATGAGGCTCCATCTGTCTGAGTGAATGCTGTGGTCTTTGTGCAGCTCTGACATTGACTTCTGCGTAGTTCAGCTCCTGGGACTCAATCTGAAATCCAACGGTTTTGAAAACATTAAATATGCTAAAACAATGATATCAGTCGAAATATTTACAATCTCACCTCGTTGGAGTTTTCCTGCAGCTCTTTAATGACTGAAACAAGGAGGACAGTGTTCTCTTAGCAGTGTCATCATGGTATATTTATTTATGTTGCACATTTACAACTACAAAAGCCTAAAGTGAGGGAGAAAGCATGTACTGTAGAAACGAGAGGACAAAGCTATCGCCCGTTTACATCAAGTCTGGCTCCAGTTTATTGACACGTTTGTTATTTCAGTGAAGTTTTAGAATGAGACCCAAAAGTACGTCCTGGGATTATTTTTAGTGGGTCATGAAACAAAATTTTTAAAATACTGACTGACTACACTGCAGCAAATAAGTCAAAGATGTAAAATTGAAATGCATTATACGGAGCCACTGGTTCAGACAATGTGTTTGAGTCACGTTTCATCTTCAATGTTGTCACTGTTAGAAGAAGGTTTTTGTCCAGAATCTCACGAGACATGGCTCCATTCATGCTTCACTTTATACAGATCAGTCTTTCCTGTCTTCTTTGCGAAAAAAAACAGTCCCAAATCTTCATGTTTCCACCTCCATGCTTCACTTTGGGTAAGGTGTAAGTTTCTGTTTCTCAATGACAATCTTTAAACATCACAGCTCTAGCTAAGATCTGCGTGGAAGAATGGGCCAAAATAACAGGGGTCCCGCGATTCACCTCTGTAACGTAACCTTTGATGGCATTGACCAAGTATTCAGTTTAACTTTTGTTATTTGCCAAATAATACATTTCTGCACAATTGTACGCATAAACTGTATACTTCATTACTTTCTTTTTTCCACATTTCACTCACAGTTGAAGTTTTCTCTGATAACAATTCATGACTCTTCTCATTTCTTTGAGTGAGAAAACTTGCACAATCAGCAATCACCAATGTACCTTTCTGAAGTCTTCTGTTCTTCAGGGCAAGAACAGCAACAACGACAGAAAGAAGTCCACTCAGAAGCCCAAACGTGACGGCCATTGGACATACTTCACTGAAGGGGCCTGGAAATAAGGATTAGTTTAGTTCAGGGGTCGGCAACCCGCGGCTCCGGAGCCGCATGCGGCTCTTGTGTGCTCCTGGAGCCTTTTCATAAATGTATGAAAATGGAGTGTCAGGGCTCTATTTTATTTCTAGTTTGAATGTGGTTTCTGTAGGAGGAAAAACATTCTTTACGTTTTTAAATGCTGTAAAAATGTGTATAAGTAATATTTAATTTCAACATTTCTGTCAACGTAGTGCGTCATATCCTATGACGCGCGGTCACGCGGCCCCGCCCCATGCAGCCGCTGCTGTAAACAAACCGGCGTATGTGTATCATAGACATAGACTGTATATATTAACGGACAGAGTCACGCCCGTCTCCGCCGTTCTAAACTAATGGGCCAAAAAATGTCTCTACTGGAACAATCCAAGATGGTAGCGAGTGGTCCCGCCCACAAGAAAATGGTGAAAAAACGCATCTGCGCATGCGTCAGCGGCGCAGCTCCATTCATTTGAACGAGAGACTTCAAAAATTCACAGCAAGTAAACTAGAGTGGACCAAAAAAATCCACCCCCCTCAGCATTGACACACATGTGGAACGGAGCTTTGGGCCAAGAGACAACTTTTGGTCCATCCTTTGAAGACGTTTTCGAGAGATCTGCCAACGCTATATGTTAGCATTGGCTAATTTTTCTTCTGGCCCCCACCCCCACAGGCCCGGGGTGGTATTGCAAGCATGTCAGCGCACGTCATTTTGGCCACTTTTGAGCTGGGACCCTCCCCCACTGATCATAGACTGTAAGTGCACATGGATCCCAAAGCTAAAACGAGAAAGAGTCGATAATAAGACTGGACGAAGAATGAGAATGAACATTTTCTTTCCAGTCAATGAGGAAGGACTGCTTCATGTTTGTAATGAGAAGTTTTGTTGCAACACGAGGAACAATGACGCGCAAAACACCGTACACGGTGATTACATGAAGGATTCATTCATCAAAAATTCAGAGCACCTATTTTCAGACTTCAAAACCTTTGCAAAGACGGTGAAAGAAAAGACCATTAAGGATATTAATTCAGCTCCAGCAGACTTCAGCCTGTGACGTGATCGATATGAACAGACAGTGATGCAGGTATGTGACCTCTGAGCCCAAAGCAGATTTATCTTTCTGTATTTCTACAATTGCATGAAGGCAAAAAAATGGAAGTTAAACTAAAGCAGAGTCGTCACGTGTTGTCATTCACGACACGCTGCAGTGAAAATACACATTTGATAATCATGAATGATTAATATGTGTTTGTAGCCTTTACTTTGTCATTTAGATATTAGGCTAATATAGCTAATACATCTTGCGGCCTGTGTTACCTTCATAAAAGCCTTATACAAGGCTCCAGACAGATGTTGTTTTTAGTTTTTTTGTCAAATATGGCTCTTTGAACCTTTTGGGTTCCCGACCCCTGGTTTAGTTCATACAAGAACTGATGATATTATGTGTTGAGCCCTGTTTCCACCAGCTCGGCCTGGATAGAACCAAATATTAACGAATGTAGTGACGCCTACCTCCGACGTTAAAACTAATGAGTCATCACTTTACCCATCTGCGGTCCTTTTTTAAAATGGCAGCGAGTAGCCCCAAGATGCATTTGCGCATTCGTTAGCTGCACGGGGCACATTCATTTAATGAGTGCCTTTAAAAGTCCACAGCGGCTAAACTAGACTGGTCCGAAAAATATACACCCCTCAACTCCGACAGCATCTGGAACCAAAAGCCACTTTTGGATCAAGAGCCACTTTTGGACCAAGAGCCACTTTTGGATCAAGAGCCACTTTTGGACCAAGAGCGAGTTTTGGACCATCCCTTAAAGATGTTTTCCGGGTACAACATCACCGGCCCGGAGTCATATTGCAGGCATTTCAGAGCACGCACTCTAGAAACTTTTTGAGCCGGGACCCGCCCAGACTGGATAAAACACAGGCCAAGCATGTACCAAAAATTTACCTGGTACCAGTAAAGTAGAACCGAGGAAGCGCGACAGGCGACAGTAGAGCTGAGGAAAGTAGAGTAAAGTAGAGTAAAGTAGAGTAAAGCAGAGTAAAGCAGAGTAAAGTAGAGTAAAGTAGAGTAAAGCAGAGTAAAGCAGAGTAAAGTAGAGTAAAGTAGAGTAAAGTAGAGTAAAGTAGGGTTGGTGGAAAAACATGACCATGAGAATCCTCACCTCCAGTTTGACACTTTCCTTTTTGGTTGGTTGAATCTACATTGGTTGATGAAGGTCAAGTACACTTTAGTATTTTGATTTATTTCAATTTAAAAAGTTTGTGATCCAACTTTGAACACATAGGACCAATGGCTCCATGTGTTTCTTATTATTGCGTTACTTACTGATAACAGTTAGCCATATCATCTCTTCATGGGTTATGTTTCGACTCCTGGACTTATAGAATATACAGCTGTACCAACCGGAGTCAGAGAGCTTTACTTCTTGGATTCTCAAAAACACATCAGTTTTATTGGAGCTCATGTGAAATCTCTCGTCTTTAAGTCTATCACAAACTGAAGGTTCACCGTCAGATCCAAAAACTGATGCAATGCAGCAAGTTTTATATCCAATCCCCCGATGAATCCAATCCACTTGAGATGCATCTTTAGAGTAGTTTGAACATGACAAAGTGACAGTTTCGCCTTGATGAACCTTAAAGTTTTTAGATCGAACACTGACATCTGTAAATGAAAAAGACGTCACTAAAAGCTGTGAAGAGTTGGAGATAAAAGCTAAAGTGTATGTTACTCACAGAGAACAGAGAGCAGAAGGAGCCTGAAGGTCTTCATAGTGATGACTGTGGTCTGAGCCTCTAATACTCTGCTTTGGCTTTTTATCTCTAAGACAATGGGAGGAGCATCAGTCTGTCTTTCATGCCATCCCCTAATGCTACTGGCCTCACATTTAAAAAAAAAAGAAGAAGAATTTTTACTTTATTGATCCCACAATGGTAAAATTCATTTGGATAAATATTCATATACACATATCACATCAAGGAAAACTAGCTTTTAACTTTTCTTTCGAGAAACTCTTGAATCATGAAGGACTTTCCTTTAAACAATACAGATAATCCAGAACTGTGCTTCCTCACCCAAAAAGGTAAAGTTTTATCCATGTAAACATCTGTCACAAACACGTCCCCCCACCCTTTCTGTTCAAATGCTCCGTTTTCAAACCCGCTAAGACGAGTTCTTGACTATGACCTGGAACATGTTCAACAGAAGAATGATGAGGTTTTTACAAAGATACAGAACAACATGAAGAGGATTGTCTGTATCATGCCTCCAACCTCCTTTATGGTCCTTAAGTTGTTGGCGTCACCTTCAAAACAAACATATTGATTCTAAATTACTTTTGGGAATCGGTCAAATCTCTTTGTTTAGAACTAATTGTTTTGAATAAGATGGTTGGATATTAGAATATTCCAACAAGATGTAGTTTCCCACTTCTACCACTGGATGGGAGTGTTCTGCTCATTCTGATCATGTCTCTTCCATTCTACAAGTAAATCCTTATATTTATTATCACAGAAATATGAAAAATCAAAGAAAGTTTAAAGCCAAAATGAACAAAAAAACATCTGTGTCATTGTTTAACCTTGTAACGATTGGTCTAGTCTTTTAAATCTATCTTTAATGATTTTTTTATGACTTATATTAATGCCATGGACCAAATCCAATCACAAAATAGTTTGAAATGGGCATTTTACTTCATCACTTTATTACTTTGTTCCACTCTGTCAGCGTCTACTTTCTATTCTCTCAGAGACGGATAAATGTGGTTAAACAGGAAGTCCAATGTGGTCTCAGCAACATTTGAGGAGTTTCGTTATCAAGATAAAATTGCTCGGTAGAACGTTTTGAGAATTTACATTCAAATCAATGGCAGGCGTTTCTACTGTCTGCTGTGAGGGCAGTATAATGAATGATATATTATAGTGATTCGAGTATTCAAATGTTTTTAAATTAATAACAAAAAAAGATCAAATAGGTTTTTGGTCAAAAGTTCAAAGCCCTAGTAATTAAGTAAGTAATGTTTATTTTATAGTTGCATTACAGACCACGGTCACCTGAAGCGCTTTTTTTTTTTTTAACTTTGAAAAGAATGTGGAATGTGCACACATATATTTCATATAGTGCATAGAATCAGAAACATGAAGTTGAGCAAATATATAGCTATGAGCTATTGTACAATAATGGCTCTTCTCGTATCTTGAAGCGGCATTAAAGTGTTCTAGTGCCGTTTGTAACGGAGACATTGTCTGTCGCGCTGTCTTCAGTCATTGTCCGAGTTCAACGATGCAGTTTACAAGCTTGAAGATCGCTGGTATCCTTGGATTACTGTTGCTCCTGTGGCAATAGTCATTGTTTATTATAAAGAGAAAAACATAGACAAAGGTGTGCAATTATGAGGCCTAGGATCGCCAATCCAGATTTGCAGGTGTTGAAATAAGGTAAGTTAAGCTAGACGTTGATAGTGACTGGCACACCAGAAACTGAAATCGCTTTGCGTGACCGTGGTCTCTGTTAAATGCGCTGATCTTTATTTATTGTTTGCAATTGTTAGACAAAAACAATAGCTACACATAAAATGAAATTAATTAAATTTCAAATAATTTGTTGTTTGTCTCACAAATGAAAAGGAGCAGAAAGCAGAAACAAAAAGAAATTTAAGTTGCCTGCCCCTCGTCTTCATACATGTACAAATTATTAAATTCAAAACAAATTAAAAAAAGGAAAAAATTAACAAGATGGCCTTTAGCACTTATCTTCAAACTGTTTTTATTTTATGTGTTTTTGTGTTCATAATTCTTTGTTTTTCATTCTTTTTTTCTAATCATTCATTTCGTTCACGATTTCATGTTGTTGCTTTGATTTTTTTACTGTAAACAATGTGAATGTTTGCGGATTTTTTATTCATAGTCAAGTTGATTCCATCGTTATTACTCCCGAGTCACCAA